CTTATTACTGGTAGTGATGTTCCGATTGTCGCAGGTCGCCGATAATCAGTTACTGTTATGTAAAGCGACAATAATCGATTCACAAAAATTTGTTCCCCGACGTCGTGGAAAATGTTTAAAGTATCAAAGGGAATTAATTCTGACAGTAATATTATTTTAGGAACACCTCGCTGATCGCAAAACATCATCTCAGAGACAATTTGGAGTTGAACAGAATCAATAAGTGATGTAAACAATAGTAATATAATGTGATGTGAATGTTATTATTTGACATCCATTGAAAAATTAAATCTATTTCGTAAAAATATGACTATATAAGGTTAAAACTGTGTTGAAAAGTGCTTAATGAAGTTCATGTTACTAAATATAATCAAGTACTATGGGAAGAAATGTTACTTCCCTCTTTCTTTTTAACGCGACTTTATTCGAAAAGTTATCGATTATGTCCCATCCGACTGAACCGATGATCGATTGGGACAAATTTCATCCGATTTCCATCACTAATTACTGGAACGAACCAGTACTGAACTACTGATGTTATGTGAGGAAATATGGTCTGACACGACCCCGATAGGGCTCAAACTAATGATCCCTGGGTTGAGAGGCAGACACCTTAAAAACAAAGCCATCACTCCTGCTCTTTACTTCTGTACTTTTTTATTATACTAGTATAATGAGTTCGATAAACGCTACTTTCATAGATATAGATATTAAGTGCATTAAAGGTTTAAGGGTACCTCAACTTTATCTAACTAAACAACTCAAGTACCATAATTATACTAAAATTGCAAAGCCTTGCAATCAATCCAAAAAGGACACTAATCTTGTTCTAAGATTCTAAACTCTGAAATACATTGTATGTGAATTCAACACCCCCTTCTCCCCTCCCAACCTTGAACCCTCATAGAATATTTTGAACAAAGAACTTAATTATTAAACTCAAACTTTGTTGAAATTTTTTGGTTTCATTTTAAGGCCAAAATAAAAAATATGTCTGGTTCAGGGAACCCGACCGACCCTATTTTTTTACCGCCGACCCTAAACTTTTTTTTTGATTTTCGGTACGAAAATGTTTGGGTACGAAAATTACAAATGTGAAAATTTTGTTTTACGATGCCTGTTGAAATAGCCGATGAGTAACAATCTTAAAATAATCAAAAAATATTTAATCTTTTATGATCAAAATCAACAACAAGTAGAATTGTGAATGTTTCTGCAGGAAACAGACAAATTTTCAATTGTCACATATTTTCGCGATGTCGCTTTTTATAATTAAAACAAGAGCTGTCCGTAAGACAGCGCGCTCGACTTTTTTATTGCTTGCCAATAAAAAAAGTTTTTGCAGTAAAAGGCAATACAAGAATCTCTGTATTTTTAAAGTGAACAATGGCCATGAGCATTAAGATATTTAGTGAAGAATTATTTTACTGAATTGTGTGATACCCTTGAACACTGCAGCAAAGTTTGAAATGTTTAAGTCAAAAGAGGGCTGGTAAGAAAGAAAAAAAAACAGAGTTGAGCCTTAAATAAATTTAATTCTAAGTCGATAAAAGGCCTTAATTTTTAAAACAAATCCTTGACAGAGTTACCTTCTCTTGCGTACAGATGGGGGTAATGATGTGAAATAGCATTAAAAGTTTCAAAGCAATATCTCAAAGGGTTAAGGCAATAAGTGGATTTTACCCATATTCAATGTATTTTCTAAGTCAAAAAGGGGCATAATTCTGTCAAAAACCTTGACAGAGTTATGTCCTCTTGTCTGTTGATGAAGGTCGTGATGGTAAACAAGTATGGTCAGTTTCAAAGCAATACCTCCAATGGTTTTGAAATAAAGTGAGGTGGTACAAAAAACTTAACCAAGCTCAATACACTTTCTAAGTCAAAAAAGGGCCATAATTCTGTCAAAAACCTTGACAGAGTTATGTACTCTTGTCTGTAGATGGAGGTTATGATGGTGAACAAGTATGGTAAGTTTCAAAGCCATACTTGTAATACTTCTGAAATAAAGTGGGGTGGTACGAAAAACTTAACCAAGATGTGACGCCAACGCCGACGCCGACGCCGGGGCGAGTAGGATAGCTCCCCTTTTCATAGAAAAGTCGAGCTAAAAATCGTAGCCAAAAGGAAGATATGTTTTGTTAAAATGTGTGTAATAACACTTAAAATATAGTTTAAGAATTAAATTAACTATTAATAGTTGAGATGGAGCCATTACCAGTATGTGTTTGTAACAATAATGAATATTTTCTTTTTTAAGGGAGGGGGGTGTAAGGTCTGATGATGTATGGTTTTTAAATTATATTTCAAATCTTTTCAATCAGTTTTATGGTACATTTTTTTCCATTTGGGACATATTACCATTTTCCTGAATAAGCCTTTTCTCTTTTCCAACTCTGACTCCCCAACCCCTTACTCTGCTATATACATGTATTATATTTGTCAACTGCATATGAGTGCAGCAAAGATGGCTTAACATATTCAATGTGATCTGGAACTCCTACTTTTTTTGTGCTTGGGAGTCTCAAGACTCCTTCTCTGTGAGAACCCTGCAACTGTTGGTACCAGTTGCACATAAATGGCACATAATTATATATATAGACTTGCGCCCCCTGAAGACCATTTGAATATGTTTAATATTAAAATTATATATACAGTAGCTGTGTTATTTTGGTCCCCGGAATAGTGCATGTCAGATGCTCTAAGCTTATAATACAGCATTATTATTAACTTGTTACAGAGGTGACCTTGATCTTTTAATTGTCAGACCTGTCAGATGCAGGTTAGCATAGTACAGCGGGTGATTCAAAGGGAAAGGGACCACATAATAAGCAGAATAGAAAGCAAATTAGTATGAATACAGGTGCTACATGGTTAAATGACTACATACAAGAAATAAACAACACAATATATATCACATGTTGATGGTTTATTACAAAATGGTGTATGCATTGATTGATTACAATCTTTGTTTAAGTATGTTAAGCAAGCAGCACATCTATATAATTATGGAAATTAAGACATTCTCCCAACCATAAAAAAAAAAAAAAAAAAAAAAAAAAAATCCCTACCCTCCTGATTTTTTGGACCAATGTTTCCTGAACCAGACATATTTTTTTTTTTGGCCTAATTAAAGATTACAAAAATTATCACATCCAATCTTCCACCGCACGGGGAACACCACAAAGTCTTCAATTAAATTGGCTCACTTTTATTGAGAAAAAAAAATACTGAAATTTCTTTGGAGCAGTGAAAAAGTAATCAGCGATTCAGCGGTAATCCAGTTTGTAGTTTCTTCAAGGCTTCGAAATGTGAGATTACAGAAACAAATGAAAATGTAAAGGATAACCCTCCTTACACCTTTCTTCTCACAAATGTCTGAGAAAAACATCTGACAAAAACAATTCCAAGAGAATATTTTCACTAAAATTCCTGCACTTAAGTACCTGAATTACCGTAATGCCCTGTAAAGTACCGAATTACCGTAATACCCAAAGTAAGGATCCTGAGAAATGGACTTGCCATACAATGTATTATAAATGTAATTATTATTATTCACATTTACTGAATAAATTGGTACACAAATTTAAAGATCAAATTTTTAAAACCCTGCGTTAACAGAGCAATGGATCAGGCATTGAACTTAAAGACTGGAATGGCTCAAAACTGGTGACATCCGGGCATAGGACTTCTATGACAACCACCTCTTATTCCTTTCAAAAGTACACTAAAATTGATTTTGTATTAGTTTATATTAAAGACTTTAGTACATTTTGTACTTGTTGTATGAAAACAAAAACTTCTTATAAATGCAATTCGCCATACATGTAATTATTTGTAAAAACAATTATAACCCATTTCAAATTTGGCTATATAGAATAATTTATGATTTCTTTTTTCATGTTTTTCCTGTCCTATTTCTAAATTATAGACCACATGTCTATTTAAGTCTAGATCAGTTAATTTATCGAGAGTCCAAAAAAACTGCTATATATAGTTATTAATCAACATAATTGCCTAGGATTACTGCTATGTCTGCCACTTCATTCCATTCCTATGAATATAATTACTCTGTATCTTTCCAAGCTATTATCTGAGAGAGACACTATTCTTATAAATTTGTGATTATTTGTAACTGTGTAATTTCTATTCCTGGTTGTGTATCGGTAAGCTGTTCCCAAAACTGCCGCATATACATTACATATGGCTGTACTTTCACTTTTCTATATTTCATTGCCAAGGGAATGGGTTAACCGTTAAATAGAAAAATTATTTCTTCTTAGTTCTATATGGCTACAAGTATATCAAAGTCATTTCCACCATTTTGATAGTACTTTATCAACAGACAATAAAATAGTTAGACATACAGGATAAAAACGTGGACAACTATGCAGTTTCTAGATATTTGTTGTCTATTGGTGCCCATCCTATAAGTCTTATTAGCAAACATAGAGAAAGGGACTGTCTTCAAAAAATACAACTGTCATCTTTCAAATTATGTATAATTTGAAGAATTTTTATCCAGCAAAAATGACTTTTATTTATCATTATTTGCATATCTTTGAGGCAGTGCACATCAACACCATCCCAAAATGCTATATAAAGGTATAATTAGTCATATTTCACAAATGCATGTTTTACAATAATGATGTATGTATATATGTATGTATTCAATCACAAAATGTATTTAAGGCTAATATTTTTCTTATGGCCGACATTAAAAAAAATCGACATATTTTAAAATAAAACTCTACACTACATTTGGTAATTAAATAAACGTCTTTTCAATGATCTAGGCAGGCCTGACCTATTAAATCCTACTCTTCCATGTTTACCTGATAGAACACACATAATGAAAACACCATGTTTAAACTAGGACTGTATGTCATGCCTTAAATGTAAAGAAATAACTATCCTGAAATAAAGTTCATTTTTCCCTGATAAAACAAAACCACTCATCAGGTCTGAAATGTTAAGCAATAATAAATAAAAAGAAAATTTACCTATAATATCTTGACTGTAGATAAGTTGAACAAACAGCTTTTGAGACATGACTCGCAGATCCAAAGTCGATGACCTTGACCCTGTACGGAAACCGCACCGGGTCCACTAACATAATGTTTTCAGGTTTAAGATCCGCATGAATTAATCCTAAATTTTTCAATTTCAGTAAAGCTGTTAGCACTTGCTGAGTGATGGGACGGATATATTTTAATGGTAACGGTTGGAACTTGTTATGTTTCAAGAAATCATACAAATTCTGCTCAAGCATTTCAAACACCAGGCACGTGTGACTTTTATGTTGAAAGCACTCATGTGCCCGCACAAAATTAAACTCGTCTGCATTTTCCTGGCTTAATCGTGACAAAATATTCACTTCAATCTGACCTTGACGTGCATATGAGGGATGATTTTTCAAAATTTTTATTGCTACGATTTCATTGGTTCCCTTCTTCCAACACTTGACAACTTGCCCGAACGTCCCGCGTCCAAGAAACTCCAAAACCTCGTAGGAATTTGTCATTGAATACAAGACCTCGTGCTGAACCAGGGTGTAGTCACCCTCGTTATTCGAGGAACTTGTGGTTTTGGAAGTGGTGGTCGTAGTGTTTCCATTGTCATCTTCACTTGAGATCGCAGTCGCTTCCGTCAGTGTTAACTGCATCTGTAGATCTAGATTATTTAATTCGCCTCGTTTTCGTTTAATGCCACACCTTTTATATACACTAGCCACGTTGGAAGAGTTTGCTGCGTTATCCAACAATAGATTGAGGTTTGACGCTGACAAGTAATTGGCGTTAAGTGTGTGTTTATGAAATTCCCCCGACTCATTCCGGGCCTGAGGGAAGATGTATGCGTTTTTCTGTCCGTCTGTAAAGATGGATGGGCTCAAGCGTCGCTGGTTGACTACATACTCACTCGTGGGTTCAAGTTTCACCTTTTTAAAGTTACTAAATGCGCTTAATTTAGACGCTAGGTAGAGCTCCTCTTGCATTGATCTGGCCAGTCTGAAAACAGAAAATACAACAACTCATTATGTCAAATAGCAACTACATAACAACTAGAATACATACTTTAACATAACATAGCCAAATGTTATAATGGTAGGACACTTTAATAATTCCAGTGTTAATAAATATATTGATTATATTAGTTCACGACAACCATCTTATCACTTAAGTATCTTATTGTTAATAAAACATGGTTATAATGCATAATTCTCAGGTCTCCCTTGATAAAAAAAAATCCCCATAATTACTTGGTGTATTTTGTAAATTCCCAATTTGAGTCAAAACAATGTATTTTTCCCAATTTGTTTGGTACTTGTACCATTCCCAAAGTGTGTACATGTATGGGGGGAGGGGAGCTGTACCCTCAGTCATGTAAATATATATAGGTACATGAATGACCTTTTTACAGGTACGGGTGGGATAATTTTATATAATAAAACACAATTAAACAATAACTTGATATGAAAAACTTACAATTTATAACTCCTTCAGAAATGTATATATCCACAAATATAAATTTATACCTTTTATCCCCAAAACTTTTTATATAAGATATAAGTAAACTTGTCAGAAAAATCACAAAAATTTGCTCAAAATGTGCGAAAACAACAACAAAATCCTTTCACAGTCTACTGTTTATGCAGCCATTCCCTTTGTGAAAGTTTCACGATTTTTTTCATGTGACACAGGCATAGCAAGTATCAATATTACTTAAATAAAGCTAGGGATTGGATGACGGCTTTTAGCAGATCTATTTCACACATGTATGATATTATGTCACTTCAATTTCCACACCATTTTAAAACTACCGTGAAATGGTACAGTAACATAACAATAAACAATGATAGTAACATTTCACCACTCCAAAATGTGTGTAAAACGCCAGTCCAAACTAGTATGATTTGAAAATGGTTCAACACAAACCAGGGTTTATGAGTAAGTTATTTCACTTCCCAATATGAGATATCTAACAAATTTCCTGAAAACTGACTACCCAATAAGAACAATGAGGACATAAATTGAATAACGAGGTTAAAATATTTGGAGGTTACAGGTAAATACCTCATTTCGGACTAAATAAGAACTTAAAGGCTAAATGAAGACCTTTCTCCTACTGGAATCAAAATTGAATAGTCTACAGCCTACACTGACCTCTGTGCTGACTGACTGGTCACTTTACGGCTGGCTGACAAAACTATTTTTTTGATACCCCTTCCATTGGTAATGGACAGTTCCAAAAATTAAAGCTCGACAAGTCCATTTTAAGAAATTCACAATTTCAGCAGATTTAAACTGGTGGCTCCAGCCAGACAATAATGTTACCGAAAGCGTGGATGTTTTGCATAGTATGATACAGTGGAAAAGTATTAAGTAATGTTTTTATAACAGAAATGAACATACCAAATCATTGTATCTAGTTGGAAAAAAATAAAAGCCTTTGGCAATTTGTCATTTTACAAAAGCTGTTAGCATGCTCGATTATTTTCTCAGTGCTTGATAGTAAACCAACAGTGTGGATAATTAAAAATTTATATGATGAAAAAGGGCCATAATTCTGTCAAAATCCATTTTTGAGTATTAAATGAGCCTTGAGCTCAAATAAGTGTGTGAAGTTTCCTTCAGTTAGTTTTGGAGATACCAACTTACATGCAAAAACTTGACCAAACCATGATATTGACTGTGACACCATGATGAGTCTAATAGTCTCTATTCTTTGAAAGGTCAAGCTAAAAATCATATCTTTCCTTTCAGAATATGCATGTATGTAGTTATATGTAACAACAGCACTGAAGGCTAAAAATTTCAATTTTTCTCTTCTTTCTTGGGGGATTACTGAATAAATTTGCTCACAAAAAAAGATGTTAAATGCACATTAAAATAAGTGCACTGTACTTTAAAAGCTTTGAGGTTGTTTAACATTATTTACATTCAAGATATACATAAAAGTTAACTTTCACAAAATGAATTTACTCACCCAATGTAAATGTTCAAACCTTTTTCTATTTACCAAAGGCAAGGTTAAAAGGCCAAAGCGAAAATATGTCTCTTTAACAGTACCCTCTCCAAAAACCATGATCTTACTTTAGTTTTCAGGAGAAATAAAATAAATATGTGGAACAATTTCCTGGATAAATATGTAAGCACTGTCTCAACATAATTCAAGACCAGTCAGAAAACCTTTACCAGGCAGTGTATGTGGTAGATTTGTTTTTGTTACACAACAAGTCAAGTTACATAATTCGCTTAAAAATCGTTAAACCAAATTATTTATATAATTATTATTATATTTCTCCATGTTTCCTTATTAGTTATCATGTTTCCGTTTTAGTTTTCCTACAAGTTTTGCACATAAATGAGCCGCGTCACGACAAAACCAACATAGTGCTTACGCAGTCTGATCATGATCCATGCTGTTCGCTATCAGTTTCTCTACTTGTTAAAGGGTTTGTAAGCGAACAGAATGGATCCTGATCAGACTGCGCAGATGCGCAGGCTGGTCTGGATCCATGCTGGTCGCAAACGCACTATGTTGGTTTTGTCATGACATGGCTCAAATGATGTTTTTTTGCTTCATTTTTAAACTTAATAAACAGGTACAACCAATCACCTGTCACTCTGCGTATCATACCTGAATTATGTATAACACAAGAATAGTGAGTTATGGGAAACAATATATACATAGTAAACATTATATTGGCTAGGTTTACAACCGAGAAGACAATTTCTGTAGAAACTAAACCCTTGGAATTGTGGTCTACTTTAGTGTAGACAGCTGGAATAAATTCTGGACTAAGCTGTATAATATACAGTCATGTTTATTAATAGCATTCATTTACTAAGAATTGCAATGGGTTCCTAATAGTTGTTATCTGAAACTCGGCAATTGTGGATTTTTCCAAGCTTACCCCCATCCCACACCCTATTACAAACGAACCTCTTCCATTTTACCTCCATGGTGCTCTACTAATCACAATAGATTTGTCATACTGTTGTGCTAATTTTTGAAGCTGTAACTGTAAAAGGTGAGCAGGGAAAGCCTAAAATGTACTTAATTCAGGAGTAAGTCTATTCACAACACAGCAAGTCCAATATGGATTTTACACTATAGCTACGCCAATATTTATAATTCCCACCTATTAGGGAAGCCAAATTTGGAAGACAAATTTATATAAACAATTGACAATAAAAATAATCTTTTCGAAAATATTGACATTATATTCAAGCATTTTTAAAATAACAAAATACTTGAGATTGCATGTAAAAGCAATTTGGCACAAGGCTTAAAATTTGAATTCTCCAAAACCACAAGTAAAACTCAAAATATTTTTCTTTGAACCAGCGTAAACTAGAATTTGACAATCAAAACATTTGACCTATTTTATTAAACATACCAATCTAAAGCATATTTAATTTAGTAAATTATCCAAAATTCAAGGTTGTTACAAAGCACCCAACAACTAAATTATAATACATATTTCTCTTTATACAATGAATTTTTTACATTTAATTTAAATTCAATACTGTTTTTATAAAAACTAAATATGCCAACGGCAAAATCAATCTTAAAAATTTTTCCCATTCTAAAAAATCTATTCATAAAGATTGAATATCTTGATAACTTTCAATTCATCAATATTGACAGAAATTTGGCCGACAGTGGCTATTATTATCACTATAAATTGGGACTTGAAAATACTTTGACCAAGATCAGGATATATAGATAAAGTTGATTTTATTGACAGTAAAACTTTGTCAGAATGTTAAAACTTGTTAACTCATTTTTCAGCTTTACATATTTTATATATGTTATTTTCTATTTCATAATCAATATTTATATAATATTTATAACAGTATATATTAATATTATTTTCTTCTTTGCACATGTAAATAAATTAATAAACCTACATAATAATATTACACTTAAAGCAGTAATCTTAACTACTGAAAGATTTTTTTCTTTCACTTTGCTCATTTTAAAAATAGATTGTTATCAACCTGTTGAAAGCTGAATACACCCAAACCTGGCCTAGATTCACATAGCGTAAACATCACTTTTTACCATGATGAACAAAGAAGTTGTTTGCTAAAGGCTTAACAAAGGAAAAACTCCCGCCAAAATTTATGATAATTTTGATGACAATTCTCCATCAACAGGTGATTTCTTATTAAACATCGGTGTTAAATCCACTCAACAAGACTATGCGTTTATGAAAACACTCTGTAACAAAAATGGGACAATCCCTCGAATCAAAGCAATTGGAAATTTCTTATTGATCACAAAACTTGGCGAGGGTATATCAAACAAACTTACGAAAAAACCCAAAGGGCTTATGGCAAGATTAAGAAAATAAAAATCTTGAAATTGAAATATTCAATAAGTTTTATTGCCTGTTGTAATGTAGGAAATGATCACCTGGTCAAGATTTGAGTCAACAATCGAAAATCAATCAATAAGAGTTACAAAATCAAACCGTTGAACATTTTATAGGAATGTTTTAATATCGCCTCTAAGTGGATTAATTGACAGTAAACAAACCTTTAGTCCATGACATATTAAGTTTGGAATACATTAACCCTTTGACCGTCATTTGAATAAAATGAATAAATAAATACATACAATGTACCTATTTACTAAAATCTGTTCACTCTATATAGTATACCATGTAGTATTATTGTTAAATATGTAGCACTGAAAATTAAATGATGTGAAAAATGACGAAGCATTACATTGTATATAAATAACAATGATGTATTCAATTCACCTTCATCCTTGCATAATAATTATTTTAAGTGTATGGCGCAAAGTTAACACGCTGATTCAAATATCCGATTTCCTATACAGTTTAACACTCACATTTTCACGTAACTCTAAATATCATTAATGACCACTAATCCACCAATTGTCACACTATAAACTATTAAAACAATCCCTTGAAAAAATCACTATCTTTCATCTCATCTGTATCATTGAAAGGCTGTTCGTCTACCACGACTCTGTTTACATCAATGGACCAAAACATATTGATTGCTCTTGGTCATGATTAAAAATAATAGCACAACGCGCAGAATAATCTTGCCATATAATGTTACATCAGTTTTTGTATAACAGGCCAGTTTGCTCACAGACCAGAATGAAATCTTTATAATCGCGAGTAATACAATATTTGAAGATTTTTGACGATGACCGATAATGTATATGGAACGTAATTAGGATCAACAAGAAATATTGGCATATATATCGATTCGCCAAGTTGTTACCAATTCATTGAGAGCAGCTTCAAGAGGAAATTAGACCTTGCCAATACAGACTGACCATCAATAACTGACTGATGATAAAAGTCTGGCATTCTAGAACACACTGATGATATATATATAATCCACAAACATGTACATGAAAGTACATGTAGATTGGTTATACACAAGGGAAAATTGCTTTTGATGTAATATACCATACCCAAACTTCGACATTTTTCTATATAAAAAGTTGAAATCTATATATAGTCCCGGGTGCCGCTTATGATTTTATTTGTGTGATTTTTATGTGTATAAAACTTTCATTATCTATGTGGGCAAACTTCAGACCTCATTGATTATTGAAAATTATTTTTTGAAGAAAACATACAAGTTTATAACTTGACTTGAAAGCATTTCTATACAATTTTCTCTTGTTAATTTTGTAAAACAAGGCTTCATTGTTAATTATTGATAAATATTATCATGAAAAGTCAAGGTTTTACAAATGCTATTAAAATGACCAGTATATCTATAGCAGTATGTACAGTACTATTTATTAATACTGTTTTAAGGGTGGTAGCACATCCCTGAGCGGACAGACAAATCGATTGGGACATGATTACCATCATCACAATCATCTTATAGAAAAGGAAGATACCGTACAAGTATAACAATGGCAACAATTAGCAAATACAAAGTTATAACTTACAATCTTACATTTTATTAGAACAAAAGTTGGCCCATTCATTGAGTACACACAGAGATTCAAAACAAAAATATATTAAAAACAATTTTCAAAGAGAGCACTCGATAATTCTTTATCCAATATCAGTCATAAAATCACCTCAATATCTAAAGGACTTATTTGTGCAATTACAAATAAGCTTTGTAATAATAAGTTTTCCGCAATGCATTAAAAAAAATTATTTCCCCCTTTAGACTTTAGACAAAAATATACACAAATTTCTTTTGAAATTAAAACAAATTGAAAGCAAATTTAATGCATTAGAATATCAAAATTTAAACAGCAAAAAAAATTACAGCACACAAAATAGAAACTTTTGTTTTCCTACATTAAAATGGCTTTAAATTGAACATACAGCAAGGCACCTGTTATCTTGATATTTATCACAAAAACATATATACATTTAATCTACAAGCCATACCTATTGTTTTTCTGTCTTGTAAATTGTCAAATTTAATTATAAATATCAGGTTCTAATACTATATTGCATTAATCGCTTAATTGAACGGCAAGGAGGATTTAGCTGATCAGTAACTACTAATAGCAAAAAACAACAAAAGTAATGGAAAAGGCTTAACTTATAGTTACTAGCATTGTTTTCATTTGAGTTTATCGATAAAAAAGTTAAACAAAATTACATAGTTTACTTTATTCATGCTGAATACAAATCTATTGTTTCCTTAAGTTTAAACAGTTTTAGAAGAACTTGAACAGCAAAATTTCACTGCAATCGATAATGCTGTTGCCTTTCATTAGATGATATCGTCAAAAAATTATCGGCATCTTTCCTTTTAGTTTAATTTGAGACTCGTGGTTTAACTTCATACGACCAGTGCAGACCAAATCAGCTTCCAGCCAGCATGATCAGATGCCTTGGTCTGCACTGGTCGTGCCGCTGATATAATGATCTGTGCTGTTTGAAAATGGTCTGCACTGTTCACTTTTCAGTCAGTACATTTTTAGACATCTTTTCTTTAATACAAATGGTAAATGCTTCCCATACTTAACACATAGTGGACAAGTCCAAACCTCATATACGCATATAGTCAGGTTTATACTAGTCAACCCTTAGAACGGCTCAAATGCTTTTCCCAGACTAAAGATCATTAGATGGACTAATAACCTAAAATCATAAAATTTGGAATTCTTTTGTGCACTTAAAATGGAAAACTATGAAATAGATAATATGTAAATATACTTGGTACAAAGATGATAATCGTTTTTTATGTGTTTTGGGGCTGATATTTTTTTGGTAATTAACATTATTAAATTGATCAATCTTACTAAAGTTCAGATCTACGTATCTTAATGCAGAGCATTATTTAGAGCTGATTTTAATCAGATTGAAAATTGATTATCCCTGGGAAGTTTCTGGGAAGCAGTTTGAGCAAATGATCAGAAATTTTGCTCACAAGTTATTGGTTCACATATCATTATAGTTACAGTAATACAAAAGTCTTGAAAAAATATGTTCAGTCCCTTCATGTCAAAAAACCTCAGTGGAGTCCCTTTAAGCAAAATTATTACTTTCTTTACAATCAATGATTCATACAAGAAGGAATTCAAAAAAATAAACGATACAATTTAATACCACAGCTTGTATTGATAGATTTTCTTAATGTTAGTAAAAATAATTCACAAACCAGGAGATAATGATTATTTGAAACAAAAATAGCAGTAAATTATGAAAGTCCATTTATTATTGGTTTGTTTACATATTAAATAGCCTTTCCTCTGACAGAAAAGTGGCAGGCAATTAGATATTGCAAATTTGCCAAGTGTAACTGAAAACTTTTTAGTGCCTAACCAATTTAACAAGGCCTTTTGCTCCCCTATTATATTTCCACAAATGAAAGAAAGCAATCTCAAACAAACTGTGAGTTAGTCCCAATGGGTTGCTTGTATTTTAGTACCATGTCTTTTTGTGTTCATCAGGATAAAAAATTCATAAATACCACTTAACAAAACTGTTTTATATATCCATTTTTTTGGCAATTTACACACAAAAAATGTAACATAATAATAGATCCGAGTTATAAAAGAAGCCACTGATCAATATGATTTGATTATTCCCAACTGCAAAAACTTGTGACCATGCATGTACTGTGAAATTTTATTTTACTCAAAAGTGAATACAAACAGTCAAATCTATAGATTATCTGGCAAGCAACCAAGGCAATGCCAATTTAAAACTAGCTCTGGTCAGCATTTTCACACAGCATAAATATGGATATTTTAAGAATCACCATTATACCCCGTTCAGATATTATTTATTTTTATCATTTTTGTCCTGAATTAACACAATATCTTATTGTAGTTTTTTTCCTTATTTTTATCTAAGATTTGCCCAAGTCCTCAAACTAAAGCAAATTTTATCTTTACAATGAATTACATGCCCAAAATGTATGTTGAGCAAGTAGAATGGGAGATTTTTTATTATCAAAGTAAATCTTATATATTTATGTAAGTGAGTTGAAACACTTGATAAAAAAAAATAAAAGTTAATAAAATATGGAAACAGTGATTTTTCTCACTTAATTGGAAAGAGGCCATAGCCTCTTGATTTTGGGGAAAATTATCGCTAAAATTGCTGATTTGGGAAATAAAAAAGCTGGTTAAAGTTCAGATTTTTGGGAAAACTGCAGGATTTTAAAGAATTTCAATTGGGAAGAGGCCTTTTGTCAGAGTCTGTTATATTATAAGTAGGAAAATCACTGCAAAATGAATGTATGCCTTGAAGCATTTAAGGCTCGAACCCGCAATACCAGGGATTTAATACACCTTGAGGCTTCTGCATATGTTAATGCACGAAAAAAATTGAATTGCATAAAAAATATCTTGTCTCATAAAAGCAATTTGGTTATTGACATTTTCAATACACACACGTGATGACCCGTTGGCTGCTACACATGATTCAGTATGTATTTTCGTCATTAATACCGTGAGTGAAAACAAACATGGCAGTCTTTGTGTTCAACTTCCGATGAAGATTAACTGAATTATGTTGAAAAGAAAGTCAGATGCGAGACACGGCGCGCATTTACTTCACTAAAATGCCTGATCTGCAAAAATATGTGCAAATTGCGCAACCGCACGGCCTAGATGCAACACTGGTATATATATCCTTCTACTACATAATGCCCCTGCGAATTTCAAACAATTAAACTCCTGCAAATTTATCCAACTATAGAATCTATTAGCTGTCCCAGTGCATTTTCACTTTGTATAACTGAGGCCTATAAAAAGGCCTCTTCCAATTGAATTTTTGTTCAAAATCATGCAGTTTTACCAATTATCTGAACTTAGTTACACAAGCTTTTTTCTCCCATATTTGAAATGTTAGCAATATTTTTTCGCAAAATCAAGAGGCTTAAAATATCTTAGAACTCAAATAAGTGAAAAAAATCACTGTGTCCTTATTCATGTCAACATCATGAATACCAGTCACAATGAAATTTGTTACAGTTACTGCTTAATAATAGATCTTAGATCATCTAATTGTTGAATCTTATATATTTTTCTGGTTACTTAAATAAGTTGACCGTTCAATTGATGTGGGTTCTTATGTTTTACATTATACACTGTGATTCACAAACTTTGATCACAAAACACGATGGCCCATGGCCTAAAATGGCTAAATCAGCTAACAGTAAGCTAACGTATACATATTCTTGTTTAAATCACATTGTGCATTATCAAAATGTATATTAAATGTATACCTAATAACCGTTTTGACCTGTCGGCGTTATTATTCCAACAGCTTTTCAAACCTCAATCATCACGCGATACCGGATTTTGTTTACCAAAACTCGTGAAAATCCAAGCATTGTTTTGGTAAAATATGGTTATGTTTTGTGGCAGTTTTAAGGTGTTTTCAGGTAGATCTTTTCACTGTTTTCACTTTAATCGTCACTTTTCTTATCATTTGTTAGAAACTTATTGTATTTTCTTGTTTCAATCACGAAATAAGGCTTCCAGAGCCATTATTTTATTATCACTGCTAATGTATCACTCTCCCCATTCAAGATCATGAAAAGTTCAGACTGATAAACGAAGAGGATTCTGGTTGATGGGTCAAATACGAATAATTTATTTTCAATAAACATGCAAATACATAAGATCAAAATATAAGAAAATGGTTTAAATACATATACGCCAAGCAAATGGCATGAAATAATTCAAAATTTCTACAAGAATTATAAAGACGTTTCATATTTTTCGGATTTACAACAATTTATCCTTTAGATCAATGACAGACGTCATGTGACGTCATGGATACCTGTCTTAAAATAGAAACCAATAAATCGGGAGGGAAAAGTCAGCAAACAATAATTTGCCATATAAGACAATTGACTCGAAATGAATTTAAAGATTTCTTTAGCAAAAATTAACTTAAACACATTCAAATTATACATTACTGACAATATCTACTTCATGGCCGTTACAATATTATATAAAATATAATCTCCCTTCTTAGTGAAATTAGCCAGAATAAGAGGTCTGCTAGATTTGCCTCCCTTGCTTTGTGCATTTTGTGGTCACTAGATTTTTCTATTTCACGGAAGTCCAAAAGCTTAAAAATATAGCTCATAGATCAACTCGGACACTTAAAACAAAAAGATATACAAATATATATATATAAATATGTAGAGTCTACTTAGAAATAGATCAGAAATCGTAATTGTCCAATTTTTAAAAGTGAAAAGCGTTGCATCGCTTTTCAATTTTGGGAGTTTTTCACAATTAGAATAATTAATATATAAGGTAAAACTTTGTCTAGAACTTTTATCAAATGGAGCATTAATTATTACGAAAATATAAATTCTGGTCTCGACATGTCAAAAAAAAACCTCAATGGAGTCCCTTTAAGTATCAGATTGGCCTATTTCAACACTGTCACTTTAACTGCGGACTTCTAGCTATAACATTACTTCATTGTCTGCGGTTTTAAATAATTAAATTATATCTATTAAGGATTTGGGCAAACCACTTTAATAGTGACACATGTAGATCAAGAACTGTAGGGCCTACTGCATATTTACACTGCATACTCGTGAGCTTCAAATTAATTGTCTGGGATCATAATTAATTTACACACTTCAAATAGAACAATTAAGATTTGATCTAGTTATTTTGCTTTTATTTCAAATTCTATTTGAAACACCCTGGTCAAATATCTGCAAATATCTGCATACAAAATTGTTAACCAGTAAAAGTTATTAGTGATTTAACCGAAGAAAAGTAAACTACAGGAAAATATTTGAAATCATTTTTTTCCGATCAGAATCTAGTAATTGAGGAAAATATTTGATGAAATAAAATGAACATATTGATCACAGCTTTTGTTTCCGCTGTAGGCCTACTGTTAACTTATAGGCCCAAATGCATTGTCCGTTGTTGTTGGTAGTAAAATAATGTTACACAAAATATCTAATAATACCTATTAAACGCATTTTTAAGATAAGGTGAATCACTTTAAGTTAGTACTGTACAAATTACACCAACATAAAATTATTTTAAGTCTTCCTAACAAACATTTATATTATTAGTTTTATATTTACGTCTGCTGTCAATTTATAAAGGTATCTCACTTTTGTCTCTAAAAAATGGAAGTTTGCAGTATTATTAAAATTCGTTATAATTTCAGCTAACAACTTTGTTTCTTTTCTATTTCTATTCTATATTTCGTCACGGCGTTAATTGCAAATAAAGCCCCGATTTCATAGACTAGTACTTTTTGCACGGACGAGCACCTGTACAAAATACTTGAAAGTTTGTGATGCTATTAAAATAGACTATTAGTATTTTCCCCACTATTTGGCATTATCGTTATGATTTCCATTCAAACACTGAGATCGGAATCTCGCTTCAAAGGGGAGATATTGCCCATACACAAAATACGCGATGGGCTACTCAGAAATGCAACTGCTTTGAAAAGCTTTTTGTATAGTTCCGAAAAAAAAGAATTAACCGGAACAAAAAGTTGCTTTTTGGCAATAATTAGTCATAGTGATTAAGTACTTTGTATGGAAGTCAAAATACAAAAACTACTTTGTTTACATTTGCTTCTTTTATGACAAATTATTTCACGTTAAGGCAACAATAATCTAACATGCTCTAAAACGTTATTCAAACGTTATAAAATTTATTGCAAAAACTATACTAAATAATAAGCCAGCATAATTTCAAAAGAGAAGAACGTATGCATTGCGTATAAAACATTTATTATTTGAAGAAAAGCATAATATTTCGAGTAAAAAAGAATCTGAACTGTCCAATAAATGTATGGGTAACATATTGATAACGTATGTACACGTGTATACGGCAAACGGGCAGCGCGTGAGACACAAACGTCTGTGTATCGCACGTATTTCAGCGCTTGCATGAGTACATTATGTATGCGTTTGTTTAAAACATACATACTTGAGGAACGAACGGGTAACACAAGAATAACGAATATACAATATTTGAATAACATATGACAAATGTGAGAGTAACTATGTAAGAAGCGCGTGAGTAACGTATACTTAACGCATGAGTAACGTAAAATTAACGTATGAGTAACGTATTATAAAATGAGCGCAATATCAACGTATGGTTAACGCATATGGGAGTGTAATATAAGTACAGCTCGAGCATCAAGTATGGATTTACAAATTCGCTAGGAAAATATTGTAACCAGCGTACGTGGCATTTAGCCACTTAATAATTGTTTTAGATGTTTAAATACATTTATGCTAGTTAATTATCGTACGTTACAGTCCCTTCAAATATAATTGTCCGAAAAATCGAAAATGAATTCAGTTCTAACTCTGTAAAACTAGTACTTTTCAAACGATTGTTTTTTGTTATTTGTCGCAATAGATGAACTCAATGCTAAATAAACATTTTTTCTATATAATTTCAAAAAATCGTATTAATAGATCTATATGCATATTATTTGTATATCTTTATGACAATTCATTTAATGTATTTGTTAACTGTGAAACTATTTAAGTCAAATAATTATTCAATTTTCCAAAACATCTGTCTACCATGTCAACATGGTGATTGAAATTATCTCGTTATTTAGATAATTTAACGGCGAGCAAAATGTGTTAAATTCCATTATGATTGGATGGTTTATTACTGTGCAACTGGCAGAATACACATATTTTATGGCCAATCGATTTTGTTTGGTTTTACGGCGCACCAACACTATCTAGCTAGGTCAGATGGCGCCGATACAGGAAAGGTGATTTTGGCTAACCCCGGGTGTTACAAACTTAGAGGCAACACCAGGGGTCAAAACCACTTCAATTGCTGGAGCTTAGATGCACAGACTCTAGATAGTGATTCGAACCAGTTTAGTCGCGTACGTCTTTACGATCACGCAGGGATAAACGGTGGCTGCAATTCTGATGTCTCAACCCTTAAATTAGAGGCAACCCCTCAACCACAAGGCTTGGCCAATCAAACATAAAGTATCCAAGGCAAGAAATGTCCTAGAATCATCCCTGAGGGTTACAGGGCAGATACAATCAAGAAGTATACAGGAAGTTGGCTTATCAGTTATCAGTAGGGGTGGAAGTGGGCATATTTTTTACAAGGCTGAATGAGTTGACACTTACCCGCTAATTAGACTTGACCATCTTTCCATCTGGACACGATCATTTATCAGTTTTTAGAAATATTTTAAGATATGTACTGACTGCATTCCAGACCATTGCTGGTAACGAGGGTAAATTCTGACGCAGCTGGCAGCATGCTAAGGAGTGCTCAGACCGGGGACTGGCCCGGACGGTATCTAGTATTAAATGTCTGTGAGGATATTGCAGAGTTGCAGCACCATTTCCGATTCAAACACCAGCAATCTTCATGCAAAATTACAACTGCTTTGATACAAATTTCCTGCTGGAAATTACTGACCAGCCTTTGTCACCAGTATAGAGCCAAGCCAGCCAGTAAACCTGTGCAGCCTGACCAGGCTCGATACCACTAGTTGCTCAATGTATGTATGTATTCTAATTGTTTAAGGATGGTCTATCCGCCCGTTGAGGCACTAAATGCAACTTTTGCTGTCGAGTATAGATGCTACCATACCCTTATTAAAGGGTTAATTTTGAAACACAAAGTGGTGATAATTTCCAGGGAGTATTAGCCAAAGATATGAAATTTGCACCAAAAATAGGTAACGGAATGGCCGTCAGTAGGCCACATAGAAACAAAAAACAACACATATTTTTTATTTTTTGTTTCTATTTATTCTATCTAAGACTTTGGTATTGGTCTAAAATATAAACATACACATATACCAATAGTATAACATAAAACATTTTATAATCATTTAAAAATAAAAAAAAAGTTCATTATGACAATATGGGTTACAAATGTACAGTAAATGCATATTTAAAACAAAAACAGAATGGTTCATTACTGTATACAATGAAATGGTCACAACCACTTTATATGGGGGTGTTTTATAGATTAAATTTTAGCAAATAAAGCTATATATATCTGTTGCCTATAGTTTACAACATTATTTTAATTAATACTTTCAAAATACCTGTATGAAAGAAATATGTTCTTAAGAGCAAAATGGCATATCCATGAAATTAATGCTAGGCAGTTAAAAAAACTTTTAGTACTTCATTAGCAACATAATTTTTGTTTCAGAACATTTTATTCCGTTGACATACAAAATTTATGTGCGATATTCTATGTTACAACTCTTTTGAGAACTGACCACATGAATGTGAAAACCACATGGATATGAAAACTACATAATTTCACTGTTTATAAATTTCATAAAAATATTTCATTAGATATATAGATTTATATCTGCTAATTTTACCAACTTGATTAAATTCTAACCTGATTTCTGAAGACAATAGTACATGTTATTTTAGTTTAATTTCCGAACTACATTAACAACAATGTTACATGTACATAAATTTGTTTATAAGAAAATTTGTTTGTGAGATTACATGCATTCAATTTTAATTTGTTAATTTATAAAAAAAATAATAAAATAAATTTGCATTACAAATAAAATAATGTAAATATG